ACACACACATATATATATTTATATATATATATATTGTATGCGGTTGTCCCGTTCCTCATACAGGTCTGGGAGATGGCGTGTCTGAGTGGGTTTCATATGGGCCGAGAAGTGTCTAAGGTCATGGTACAACGACAGTCTGGCGCTGTGTTCTTCACAGGCGCTACTGCATCGCTCAGAGGCGGCTCGGGCTTCTCCGCTTTCTCAGGTAGGTCGCCTACAAACTGAACAACGTTATAACTTGCCTCATAACCAAGGCCGCTGATCATTGTGAAAACGTTATACGCCGTATATCACCGAGGCACATCTCGTTCGTTAGTTTTTCTCCGTGTAAGTTGTAGGTAAAATATCACTGGCAGTGTCTGGTGAGGGCTCAATTTATAACAGAATGACACCATATGTAGAGGTGTAGTTTAGATTAGTCTACCAGGGGACTATCAATTGCAAAGTCGAAGTCCGATGCTTGTCGGCTGCTATCATTATGTGCCGCTGAGAGTTTTGCCCTGTGACCTATAGAGTTTAGGGATTTTAAAGTTTTAGGGTTTATTGTCGCCGTGTGACCTATGCGGAACGAAAGCGTCGTATCACACACAAGTAATCTTTTCTGCTGCATGCAGTACACTGTTCTTTACCGGTAATCATTTGCAAGCGCCTCTCCTGGCACATCAACGAAGGTGCTCGTGTAGATATATAGCACTACTGAGATAAGGGGGATGCACGGATATATACTTACCTCAATGTCGTGTACGACTTGAACCGGGACAAACCGGGACAAGCACGCATATGTACGCACCTCAACTTATCACATTTCGTACATGTGCGTATTGACCACAGAACTCCGACATTGTGGTAATCGATAGAGTAGTGACATCACAGAGGACTTCGGTTGGATTTGACGTTGTTTGCATACAGCCATGAATAATGCACATTCCAGTTCGGTACATATCTGGAAGTTAAGCGTGTGGCTAATACACTTTGTTGACACTATGCTCTCTACGCAGTTCGGTACACAGCCAGAAGTGGAGCTTGTGTCTATTGCACTTTATTGACACCATGTTTTTCTGTACCACATCGTAGGAGCCAAGTTCGCTCTGCGCTCGCTGTCACAAAGCATGGCTCGGGAACTGCACCCCCAGGGCATACACGTGGCGCATGTAGGTATGTCATTTCGGTACGCACGTGGTCCCATGCGGGCTGGGGTTATTTACGTCTTCTGCGAGGCCTATTATTGCGTATGGTGTATGGTGAGTGACCAGTGTATTCAGGCCAGCTAGGTTTGCCAGTTTTCAGAATGAAATGATTGTCGCAGGGGATAAGACTTTTATATAGGATACTTTTTTTCTACTAAGTTGCGAAAAGTAAGCGAAATTACAGTTCTTAACCAGAAAAACGTAAAACCTGTGGAAAGCTATTACGCCCCAGAAAATCAGGTTGTTCAGTGTCCTGTCATATGTATCTGGCTCTGAATGGGTGTTTTATCGTGTGCTGATTTAGGTACCGAACTGTATTTAATGACAGACTGTTTCTATAAGAATTGATTTCGTCGTGGACTGTATGCATGCGGCTGTGTGGCTGTTGTCTCCATGGACAGAGTTTGTTTCCCCTAGAGTATGCTGAGTGTCAACGCTACTGTCACTCACTCATTACTGTTGTAGCGGGACAGGCACAAGTTATCCATGTATCCGCCTGGCGGGTAGTTGTGTTCATAGGTTAGATTTGTTGCCGTTGAAAGCTGGTGTGTGTATCATGGCCCCTGGAGTAATGACAATCCACTAGGGACTGAACGTGAATGTGGTATGAATTCAGTGGTCTTGCACATCGGATGTGAACGATTTCCGAATTAGGGATGTTTAGAATCGAAATGGTTGTAACTATAGGCTGCTTGACATCGCCTATGTACTGGAAAATATGTACACGTTGACGGTGAAAATATGTACACGTTGACGGTAACGCATACAGTAGCGGGCAAATACGTATTTTAAAATGTTGCTATATTAAGGCACTGCATATTTCCTTTTTCTAAGGGGGGGGAGGTTGTATCCCATGCTATCTCTACGCCCCTTCCGTGGCAATTGGGTAGGTGTTCTACAGTCTTAATGCGGTTGAATATAAGTTCAAAACTTATTATAGAAAGTGTGCGTAAGCGACGCGGGAAATGGCCTGTATTGACATACATGCCATATATCCGAAAGCGTTTAACGTTCAATGTCTAATAGTGCCCACAAAGAATGCGTCCGTGACGGGGGTAGTTGATTGGATCGGCATACTATCTATCATAAGATGTTAAACGTTTTCAGACGAGTAGTGACCACATTGAACTCGAATCTCGGACGGTGGTAATACCTGCGCTAGACCAAATCGTGGTCTGTGGGCGTACGTTTTTCGTTTTTGACCATGAACATGAAATGCCTTCAACTCTCGCAAGCTGTTGCGATGTCAAGGGAACGCACCACACCCGCATGATATTGGCGTACAACAAACATGAACATACTCTCAATTGGGTGTGTGCATATATTCGTTATTGCACAACTCGTGTAAACAAAAGTACATGACTCAAATGCGCCTGCAAGAGTGCTAATGTGAGCTACATCCATCTGTCCGAACACACACACACACACATATATATATATGTATATATATATATATATAGTCTGCGACGGTGCGATTGACACTCCCTGGATACAAGAGAACTTCAAGCACCTGGTGGACAAGGTTGGACCGGATGGTATAATGGATCCAGGTATGCGTATGCCACCAGATCATTTGTTGATGGCTGTAGTAATTAGACGGTCATAGTGTGTATCACGAATATAGAAAGAATATATGGAGAATATAGAGAGAGTACAAGAAATTGAGGAATATTACAGGGTCAATGCCCTGCGCAGCTGTAGCCTATGAGGGGTATACACTAATCAGTCAATTAGTTCATGTGTTTGATATGACATACCCCCGTTCGGACTTCTGGCGCGCAACCCTTATTATCGTGTGTACCTCGTCCCTGCCTCATGGCATGGTAGAATATGGTAATGATAAGTTCTACGGAGAGATTGTTAACCCGCCATTTCTGCAACGAAACGGGGCCTTTATTGAGCAAAGACATTACTTTCGTTCGGGGGCGTGTTTGTCGTAAAACTCCTCTACCGACTACTGCGAGACCGATCACTTGTAGGTACAACTTGGTGTCTGCAAGCGTTCTTCCTTGTATTAACTTTATAGTCCATCTTACTTTCTTAAACTTCATTATCCATCTTCCGTTTATGAACTTCATTATTCATCTGAAGATTTTCAACTTTATTATTCATCTTACGATCATTAACGTCATTATCCATCTTATGCGTTTCTCATATTCATTATTTAACTTACGTTTATTTGCTTTCATTGCCTTGATTTCTGCCGTATCAGACGCCGTCGCCGAGAACTACTGGCACCTGTACAACCAGCCCAAATGCGCCTGGACCCAAGAACTGGATATCCGCCCTTATATGGAGAAGTTCTGATGTTGCGGGTACATGTAGTTACGTATCACGATACTGAGTAGTGAAAATGGCCCAGACACTATTGAGAGCACACGCCGACAAATAGATGACTAGATGACTATTATGTATATATATATTTATATATGATATATAT